GAGTAAACGAAGTCAGCTGATGAGCGGGCTATCCATTTCAAAGGACGTGCTGCCGTTGTGGACATGAATACGAACCCCACGGTTGCTGCGTGTGTGAGGACGGCTGCGAGGCACCAGATGTACGTGTGTGTGCCTCGGTGGGCTACACTGGCTCTGTTATGATAAGTAATTTGATGGGCCTTGAACTTCCTCACACAAGCAGAATAGTTTCAGAACATTGCCATGGAGACGGATGAGGCCTCAAGCAGCAGGGTACCACTTAGGCAGTGACAGATTTTACAGAAAATGGGCTTAGTTACACCTTTCTTGTCAAAAAAAAAAAAAAAAAAAAAAAGAATCCCCCAGCTAATGGGAAGAGTACTTCCAGGCAGAATGAAACCTTGCACCCCCCGTGAACAAAAAGCCCCTGAAGTTCGGAAAATGGGGACATTAGCAGGGCAGGAAGAAGGTAAATGCTTAGCTGTAGCCCGAAATACAAAAAGAGAATTAGGATGCCGAAGCCCTGGCACGATGTTGGAGCTCCAGACGTCGTCAGAAAATAAACGGAGGAAGAAGATGTTTCCAATATATAATTATGTTCAGGAAAACGAGGAGGGAATCCTGTCGTGTGGAGGGTTGAGATAAAATAGTCAGGCCTGGGGGAAACGTGTCCTGGGGTCTTTGGCAAGGTATCCATCATCTATGACGTAACTAGAACTGCCATCTTCCAATTCTCCTTCATCTGCAGGGAATGGCCTTCCCTGCCTGGTAGAAATGTGTTCTTTCTGGGACCAGCTCAAATGGCGCGACGCCGTGGGTGAAGCTTTCCCCGAGTCTCCAGGCGGGGCTGATCATTTTCTCCATGTGGCTCCTCTCGTCTCTTCATTGCATCGTTGGTGGCATTTATTCCCACGTCCGCATCAGCTAGACTGTGGCTCACATGAGGGCAGTGCCCTTGTCTGGCCACCTTGAACCCGCTGACACCCGGCTGGTGTCTGGCATGGAGTGTGTGAGGAGATGAACTGTCTTCACCGATCCCTACATGGAAGTCCTAACCCAGGACCTCAGAGTGGGACCGTAATTGCAGATAGGACTTCAGAGAGGTGATTCAGGTAAAATGAGTCATTAGGACGGGCCCTAATCCAAGCTGCCTCCTCCTGTATAAGAGGAGGAGACCTGGGCACAGGGGGCATCAGGGGCCTGGCTGTGGAGGGAAGACCACGTGAGGACACAGTGAGAAGGAGGGCCGAGAAGAAAGGCCTCGGAAGTGACCAGCCCGCCTGACACCTTGCTCTGGGACTTCTGGCTTCCAGGACTGTGAGAACATGCATTTCTGCGGTTTAAACTGCCCAGTCTATGGTATTTGGTGATGGCAGCCCTGGCAACCTGATACAGAGAACTTCCTCAAAAAAAATTTTTTTTTTTGTCAAATGAAGACAAAAACACTGATTATGAGAAGAGGCAAAAGTAGCAGCTTTTGGTTGAAGATATTAGGGATAGAAAAGGAAGGCCGTGCTGATTGCTTTAACTGGAAGCTAAAAAGGAAGAAAAAGGAAATGCCATTTCACCTAACTACAAGGGCTTTATCAAGTATTGATTAATAAGAAAGCATGGGCGGGCGCCTGGGTGGCTCAGTCGTTAAGCGTCTGCCTTCGGCTCGGGTCATGATCCCAGGGTCCTGGGATCGATCCCTACATCGGGCTCCCTGCTCAGCGGGAAGCCTGCTTCTCCCTCTCCCACTCCCCCTGCTGTGTTCCTGCTCTCACTGTCTCTCTCTCTGTCAAATAAATAAATAAAAAAAAAAAAAAAAAAAGAAAGCATGGGCGGGCGCCTGGGTGGCTCAGTCATTAAGCATCTGCCTTCAGGTCAGGTCATGATCCCAGGGTCCTGGGATCGAGCCCCACATCAGGCTCCCTGCTCAGCGGGAAGCCTGCTTCTCCCTCTCCCACTCCCCCGCTGCTTGTGTTCCCTCTCTCGCTGTGTCTCTCTCTGTCAAATAAATAAATAAAATCTTAAAAAAAAAAAAAAAAGAAAGCATGGGCATGCCTGGGTAGCTCAATTGGTTGAAAGGCTGGCTCTTGGTTTCGGCTCAGGTCGTGATCTCTGGGTCCTGGGATCAAGCCCTTTATGGGACTCCGCACTCAGTGGGGAGTCCGCCTGAGGATTCCATCTCTCCCTCTGCCCCTCCCCCCACCCGCACGAGCTCTTGTGCTCTCTCTTTCTAAAACAAATAAATAGGGGCACCTGGGTGGCTCAGTCGGTTAAGTATCTGCCTTCAGCTCAGGTCATGGTCCCAGGGTTCTGGGACCGAGCCCCACATCGGGCTCCCTGTTCAGTGGGAGTCTGCTTCTCCCTCTCCTCCCCGCTAATTCTCTCTCGCTATCTCTGTCTCTGTCTCTCTCAAATAAATAAAATCTTAAAAAAACAAGAAAACAAATAAAACAAATAAATAAATCTTTAAAAAAATAAAGTATGGATAGATGCACATTGCATGTATGAACTGGTAATGATGGATATTCCTTTAATAAATCCTCCAATTATTTATGTTTAAATACATTGTTGCTGTCTCTCTCTTTACAAATGCCATATAACCTTGTAGGTGGGGTGGAAAATATAAAATCACAGTGTTAGGTCAAAGAAATGTCCAAAGGGCAACTCACAGTTGGGTACAGTCCTCAAGACAGGGACACTTCTTAGGATTTTGTAGACAAAGTTAAAAAAATTTTACCCTCTAAAGTTGGAGTCCATAAAAATCAACCTCAAATGAATATGATTAACAAACAAACTTGGGGTGGAACCATCTTGAAAGATGACTTGTAATTGGCTCCTGGATACAACTAGGGTGCTTTCCAAATCTCCATGAAGGAGACTGAAGACCCTTCCCAAACCTATCTAAGCAGTTATTCATTCATTCAATACCAGTCATGTTGGTGTCTGCCAGTTTTCTCCCCTGCAAAGTTATCAGTTCTCTTTTTGGAATTATGTGTTAGTCTGATAAGCGCTGGGGAATATAACAGGGGAGAAAACACAGTCCTTGCGCTCAGAAAGTTTATAGTCTGGTTGGAGAGACAGACCAGTAACCAGGCCATTTCTAAGTCTCTTGAGAGGAGTGAGCACCCAGCTCTGACTCCGTGGAGGGTATATGGAAAGGTTTCCCAGAAGAGGTGACATCTAAGCTGAGACCTGAAGGACTGGTGGGAGTTAACTAAGAGAAGGGGTGTGGTAGAAGGTCAGAGAGGAGAGAATGTTATAGGATGAGGGGCCATGTGTTCCAAGATCTGGAAAAATGAGCACACTTAGGGAGTGGCAAGTAGCTCAATGTGGCTGGAATACCAAATTTGTGGAGGAATGGGGGACATGCGACTGAAGAGTTATGTGGAGGCAAAATCATCGGAGGTCTTGGAAGCCATATTTAGGCATCTGGACTTCATCCTAGAGAAAAGGAGACATCCCTCCCGTGTTTTCGGCAGATACGGGATGCGATCATAATCCCGTTTTAGAAAACCCCTCTGGCTGTGTAGGGTGAGTTAGCCAACTTGAGGTGAAGGGCACGGTCCCCATAAGTCTGCCCTTACTTCAGACACCAGCCCCAAGTTTGGGGGTCCCCAGGATTACCTACTCATCATAGCATCTGGCTGCAAATTCAGGGGTTCCCATGACTACCCTCACAGTTGATAATTTGATATTTAGGCAAGTTTTATACTTAGGAGTAGACTTTTTTTTTAATTTTTTATTGTTATGTTAACCAACATATATTACATCATTTGTTTTTTGTTTTTTTTAATTCTATTTTTAAGATTTTTTATTTATTTATTTGAGAGAGAGAGAATGAGAGACAGAGGGCATGAGAGGGAAGAGGGTCAGAAGGAGAAGCAGACTCCCTGCCGAGCAGGGAGCCCGACGCGGTACTCGATCCCGGGACTCCAGGATCATGACCTGAGCCGAAGACAGTCGCTTAACCACCTGAGCCACCCAGGCGCCCCCATCATTTGTTTTTGATGTAGTGTTCCATGATTCATTGTTTGTTCATAACACCCAGTGCTCCACGCAGAACGTGCCCTCTTTAATACCCATCACGAGGCTAACCCATCCCCCTACCCTCCTCCCCTCTAGAACCCTCAGTTTGTTTTTCGGAGTCCATCATCTCTCATGGTTCGTCTCCCCCTCTGACTTACTCCCCTTCATTCTTCCTCTCCTGCTATCTTCTTCTTTTTCTTTTTTCTTAAAATATGTTGCGTTATTTGTTTCAGAAGTACAGATCTGTGATTCAACAGTCTTGCACAATTCACAGCGCTCACCATAGCACATACCCTCCCCAATGTCTATCACCCAGCCACCCCATCCCTCCCACCCCCAACCACTCCAGTAACACTCAGTTTGTTCCTGAGATTAAGAATTCCTCATATCAGTGAGGTCATATGATACATGTCTTTCTCTGATTGACTTATTTCACTCAGCATAACACCCTCCAGTTCCATCCACGTCGTTGCAAATGGCAAGATCTCATTCCTTTTGATGGCTGCATAATACTCCATTGTGTATATAGACCACATCTTCTTTATCCATTCATCTGTCGATGGACATCTTGGCTCTTTCCACAGTTTGGCTATTGTGGACAGGAGTAGACTTTTATTATAATAAAAAGATACAAATTGGAATTAGTCAAAGATACAAGTAATTGGAAGCAGGAGAGTGGACCCTGAGAGGGTTCTAAACGTGACGCTTCTGTGTCCTCAGGATGCATTGCTTCCCAGCATCTCTAGATGAATACGCACAAGTATTGCCAACCCGGGAAGTTCATCCAAGCTTTAGTGGCCTGAGTTTTTATTGAGGCTTCATTACCTAGGCATGATTGATTGAATAATTGCCCACATGGTTGAACTTAATCTCCAGGCTCCTTCTCCTCCCTGGAGGTCAGGCTGTCACATGGCCTAAAGCCCCAACCACAAATCACATGGTTGGTCTGTCAGATAGGGCTGGCCCCACCCTGACTCATCTTGTTAGCATAAAGGAGGGGCCAACCTTGAATAACAAAGACACTCCTCTTGCTGTGAAAATTGCACGTTTAGGGATTACCTCCCAGGAGCCCAAAGGGCAGATCTCTCTTTAGGTGAGGCCTTCTTACTACGCACTGTGGTGGTGCAGTTCGACTGGATGAAAGTAAGTCTGAAAACAGGAAAATCAATTAAGTGGTTGCTGCAAAAATCTAAGGAAGAGAACATGATAGCCAAGACCAAGGAAGAAGAGAGAGGATGGGAAGTAGAGGGGTTTTGATGCATGAAGAATAGAATGTCAGTACTTGGTGGTTGACTGGATATAAGGAGGTTGAGGGATGGGGAGGAGACAGGGACTATGGGCAGGTGTCTGGCCTGGGCAAAGAGCTGGTTTAGGGCTGCTGTTTGCCAGTATCTCTGGCTTCTTGTTTTCCTGATCAATCAGCCTAGCGCAATGCTTGGCACATAGTAAACATTCAGCAAATATCTGTTGAATAAAAAAAATGAATGAATGGACCCATCTTCCAGCAAAAGAGGACGTGCCTGGATGCAGACTGCTGCAAGAGTGCAAGCCACACTCAACAAATATTCACTGACTCCTTCTGAAATAGGGCCACAAGGTAGCTCATGCATCCTCAGCAACTAGATATTTTTACCTTCCATGTGGGACGTGTCCCAGGATTGCTTAGGGGTGTGTGTGTGTGTGTGTGTGTGTGTGTGTGTGTGTGTGTGTACGGGTATGTGTGTAATAAGGGGAGGTTCTATGCGAGTTGTGAATTTTATTGTTGAGTTGAAAGCCAGACACACATCCTACTGTATTGGAGAGACTTGAAGAGGGCTATGTGTTTGCCTGGAATAGAACAGGGCTGAGTGTTGAGAGGAACTTTCTTTCCTCTCTCTTCATGTTTCCATATGGAGGGAGTTGGATTAGGGTAACACTCTTGGCTTCTCTCTGCCTTCCTCTTTTCTCCTTTGTCATTTAACTGCTTAGTGAGCTTGGGAAAAGGGGCTGAGGGTACCTGGCTCAGTCCCTCCCTGACTCTCTCTTAGAGGCTGGCTGCCTCTGGAGAGTGTAGATTGTCATTGGCTTCAGCTGAGCGCTCAGCTTAGTGGGGCAGGGCCCTCAGCAGGGAGCCTGCAGGGATGCAGCTCTGCCTGCACCTGGGAAGGCAAGTGTGCCTCATCCTGGAAGCAGGGTTGGGAAGTCCTCTCTTACTGTGTACCTAAGTCACACTTCCTGGGTCAGCTTTAGTGTTACTCAGTTCGTGGAAGAGAGATGGTCTTTCTTTCTAGTTCTCCCCAACACAGGGCTCCCAGCAGAAGGGCAGAAGTCTGAGGCCAACTTGCCATGGCCTATACCCCGTACTCTGCCCTGATCCCCTGGGTTCTGGTGTTATGGCTCCCTTACAGCCTGAGTTCCTGTCTTCGCTTGGGCCGCCATAACAAAATACTGGGCAGCTTAACCACAGAGATGTGTTTTCTCACAGCTCTGGAGGCTGGAAGCCTAAGATGAGTGTGCCATTGGGGTTGCTTTCTGGTGAGGCCTCCCTTCCTGGCTCGCAGACAACATCTTCTCGCTGGGTCCTCTTCGCATGACCTCTTTTCTGTGCGTGTGTAAACAGACAGAAAGGTTTCCAGTCGCTCTTCCTCTTCTTATTGGACCCCAGTCCTATGGAATCAGGGCCCCACTCTGATTCAATGACTTCATTGAACCTTAATTACCTCCTGAAAGGCTCTATCTCCAAATACAGTCATATTGGGGGTTAGGATTTCAACATAGGGATTTTGGTGGGGGTGTGAGGGGGAATGCAACAGTCCATAACACTATCCCTTTAAAGAGCTTTCCCATTGTCTTTCATGATTAGGATATAGTTATACAGTCTGCGTTGTGATAAAGTTAAGAATTCTGGATTATAATTTCAGACTGGTTTTAAGAACCATGAACCTGGCATTCAATAATTGCCTATTGATGCCTTCAGAAATATGATACTTGGGTTTTGTGTAATATCGCCGTTGGTGGACTTTGGGCATGACACCAAAGGACATGGATGATAGATCAGTCCTTTAGACGATAGTATCAGCTGCACCCAGGTGCATCTGGGGAATTTTCCAGCGCTAACCAGCAGGTGCTCTTTGTTACGTCATAAAAATCTTTCAAGTCCTAATGATTTAAAGCTGGGGGCAAAGGTCACCTTTGAAGATTATTCCTATCTTTTTCTGATGTCATTCCTGAAAAGTTCATGCTGCTCATTATCGGTTGTTATGGTGATAAATTGGGTGAGTTTCTGAACTGGGAGAAAATACTACTAAGTGGAAGGAGGGGCTTAAATATTTAAAGCTATAAAATGTAGGCAAAATTATTATTTTGATCCAGGCTTTAGAAGTCATCCCATCTTCTCCCATGATATTGGCTGGCAATGCAATGTTGATATATCTCCAAAGAATTTGCTAGCCACTCTGGGCAGCATCCTCTCTACTGGGAGGCCACAGCCTTGGAATAAGAGCACCACTGCTGGTCACAGACAGCCCATGTCTATCCTGGGAGCCAGATTTATGGGAGGTCTTAGCGGTGCCAGGTGATGGAAGCAAGCCCATGGACCGCGGAGCAGGTAGAACTTTGAATTCTACCTCTGGCTTCTCTGAGCCACTGTTTTCTGTTCTGTAAAATGGGAACGATAACACCACACAATACTGTTGTCAGGACCAAACAAGATGGTGTACGTAGGTGTGTGCCATGCCTTGCTGACGTGAACATGTGAGACTCCTTCTCTCAAACCAACCCGATCCCATCAGGAACTACCAGGCGTGGTGCCATCGATGATGTTCATTTTCTCTTCGAGACCTGCTCTGACCTCCAGAACCCAGTGGAGAGTCTCTTCCAGACTTGCCACCTTATCACCTGCCAAGGATCATATCCTGTTTGCTGGGTGTGCCTTTTGGCACAAAGCACTTGCTCAAAAAATAGGGATCGGCTGATACCTCACCTACTTTTGTCTCCTCAAAATTGTCCTAGGGTTATGAGATAGCTGAACTCAGCCTCCATGAGGTCGTCACTACAAAGTAACAACATGTTTATTCTTTTATCTGTTTATCTAGCAGCCCTGCCATGACTCACACATCCCAATGAGGACTCCTGCCTTATAAGGAGGCACTTTGAAGGCTATTATTCCAAGGAGCCTGTCACCTCTCAAAGCATTTTTAGAACTCCTGCTTTGAATCAGTGCCAGTGTCAGGATGGTGAATCCTCACACCTCCTGGGAACAATTATTTTTGGAAACAATGGAAGTCATGGTGGCCAAGTTTGGTAAGTCTGGTCCTCCAGGGGGTGGGTGGGTGTGGAGAAGGAGGCATGGTGGACTGATAATCAGTTAATATTTAATTGGGCATTTCCAATGGGTCAAGCACTTTGCATCCACTGCCTTATGTGATTCTTAAAAACATTTCTGTGAGGCAGGTGCTATTATCACCCCCACTTTACAGACAAGGAATCTGAGGCACAGAGTGCAAAACACATTTTCTACAGGAATATCGTTGCTTTTTCTCCCCCTATTACTAAGCTAGTGTTAGGGGGCCCGGAAGCAGGCAGGACAGACATCCTTGAGTGACCTTTCTCACCCCAGCAGAAATGAGGAACAGGGACGCCTTATCTAAAGACAACAAAGCCAAGAACAGTGACATTTGAACTGGTGGGGGCAGGGAAGGTACGAGAATGCAGGAACCCTGGGGGAGCAGGAAAAGGAAAGTCCCCGCCAGCACCTGGAGGACTCCTCTGGGAGAGATCGGAGAAGAGGGGAGAGGGCTGGTCCAGGATTGGGGACCCAGGAGCAGAGGGGAAGATGGTCACCAGAATTCCTAGTGGAAGGAATTCCTTTTGTGCCTCTCTTTTTTACTTTTTTAAAACTCGTATTCATGTTTGCTGACTCTGAGAGGAGCTCAAGTTCGTTGTGGAGAACTTGGAACATATAGAGGAGTATGAAGAAGATAAAAATGATCTGTAGGTGACCCCTCCTCCCCAGGATCTCAGGCCTTGCTAAGATGCATGCTGAGCCCATCAGCACGACTGAGGTTATTTATAAGCTCCCTTCTTCTCATCCACCCACTCCCCTCTCTGCTTGGGCTAGGGAGGCCTTGAGCCAGGACATTCCCTTGCAGCCCACACAGGCTGCTATATAAAGCCCTGCTCTTCTAGGGGCTGGATCAGGACGTCCCTTATCTCTCTGCAGCAGGGTTCTGATAACGCGCCCAGTTGGCAGGTGCTCTGAGCCGGGCCAGTGGACTCTGGTAGCTGCCACCGGGGCCTCCAGCCCCCATGTGGTCGTCTGTTCTGGTTGCCGCTGAGACCTGGCCAAGGACACCAACTGAAGCCTTCAGCATGGGAAGTCGTTTGCTCATTTTGTTAGAGGGCACTTGCCAGACAGCTGAGTTGAATTCGACGGGCTTGGCACGAGTGATGGGTGTGTCCGGCACATGCAAGCGCCATGGTCAGTAGCCCCCTCCTGCAGCAGCTGTGCCTAACCCCACTCTCTCAGCCCCCGCCCTGATTTCCCTCTCCTTTCTCTTCATTAGTGCTTGGCTCAGAATTTTCTTCATCCATATGGCTTCTGCAGGCAAAGGCCTTCCATGGCTGGTGGCCTGCTGTGTCTCAGTCCCAGAATTCCGGGCTGGACTTCTCCCTAATCGACAGTGGACTATAGCAGATGTACTCTCTCTGCCTGGAAAGTAAGTTTTGCCAAAGGAGGTAGAACCATCTTATTGCTACAAGCTGGGGCAGAGGGGAGACAGGAAGCCCTCCTGAAAAAATGCATAGGCTTTTGTTAGAAGGCGGGGGAGGGACTGTAAAGTATTCCCCAAACTGAGAAGGCAGTTTGAGACTGAAAAATGAAGGAGGCCACACAATACAGTTTACACACAGTTTTGTTTGGGGTAACTTACTGATGGGGGGCGGGGATCAGGCAGGTGGTGATCCACTTGCAGAGTTATTCTCCACAAAGTCTGGACCTCAATCTACAAATTTTATAGAACAAGGGACTCTGCAGAAGGGCACTGTGGTGAGACCAAAGGGTTCGCATGCACCTAATAGACGTCTAACATTTAATCAGATCTTGCGGCACCACCTGTGTATCAGGAAGGGGAGACATTGTGTGATCTTTAACAAACTTACAGAGGGCCAAAGCAAGCTGCCCTCCATCTCAGCCTTGGAAGGCATTTCTAAGTTATGTATATTAATCTCCTAGGGACCCTGGAACACATAGCCTGCCGGGGGGGGGGGGGGGGGGGGGGGGGGGGGGGGGGGGGGGGTTGGGGAGGGATCAGTGAGTAGATGTGAACAAGATAAAGAGTTAAAGTTGGCTTTAACTACAGCTTTCCTATAGCTTTAAATCAGACACAACCAGCATGAAATCCTAGCTCCTTTGCTTAAAAGGAGGTGTGATGTTAAGCAACTTATATATATATATATATATATATATATATATATATATATATATATACCCTTTGAGGCTTATTTCTCATCTTTAAGATGTAGAGTATGATATCTCTAAGAACTCATGCAAAAATTAAATAAGATGACATATATAAGACATTGGAAACATTTTAGTTGGCATTATGGTAGCGATTATAATTTTTGTTAATAATATTTTGATTTATGATCATTTGGATAAGAGAGAAGTGGTGACTTTTTTTCCCCCTTTTGGATTCAACAGGGGAACTCTTTTTTTTTTTTTTAAAGATTGTATTTATTTATTTGACAGAGAGAGACAGTGAGAGCAGGAACACAAGCAGGGGGAGTGGGAGAGGGAGAAGCAGGCTTCCCGCTGAGCGGGGAGCCCGATGTAGGACTCGATCCCAGGACCCTGGGATCATGACCTGAGCCGGAGGCAGATGCTTAATGACTGAGCCACCCAGGCGCCCTCAACAGGGGAGCTCTTGACCTTGGTTATTAAGAGACTCATTTAGGCAAAAAGGTATGTGTTTCCATTGATATTTAAGTGAATTTTTCAAGTTCTGAGAGAACCCTTTCAAAGCAACATCTGGGCCCCAAGGAGGTCCTGGTTCACATTTGTCTTGACCTATGAGAATCAGATCAACCTTATACAAAAGGGCAAGTCAGTGTACTCATGGCTTAGTCAAAATTTAGTAGCAAAACATCCCTGCCATAAGCTACAAGGGACTTCAAGATGGAATGATTATATATGAAATGAAAATAGTAAAAACATTACTTATCTGAACTTAGGAGATACAACTAGAACAGCGTCCAGAGAAGAATGCATAGTGAGATTTTATGTGTCAACTTGCATAGACCACAGTGTGCCCAGATGTTTGGTCAAACATTATTCTAAGTGTTTCTGTAGGGTGTTTCTGGGTGAGGTTAACACATGAATTGGCAGACTGAGCAAAGCAGATTGTTCTTCCCGATATGGGTGGGCCCCATCCAATCTGTTGAAGGCTTGAATAGAATAAAAAGACTAAGCAAGAATTCTTTCTCTCTGCCTGCCTATCTTTGAGTGGGGACATCATCCTTTCCTGCCTTTGAACTTGGACTTGGATTGGAACTTACATCACCGTCCCTCCTGGAGCTCCAGCTTGCTGTCTGACGATCTTGGGGGACTTTTTAGCCTCCATAATTGCATGTGTCAATTCCTTAGAATAAATTTCTTTATATATCCTAGAGATTCTGTGTCTCTAGAGAACCCTGACTAATACATAGTCTTATAATGAATTAATAAAAAATTAAACAGGAATGAAAAATGAAATAAGCATCCAACTGAAGTAGTGAGAAAAAAGGCAATAAACCTAAGGAAAGCAGAAGAAAGAAATTAATAAATGTTAAAGCAGAAATCAATAAATTATACAACAAAAAAGTTTTATAATTAATAAATTATAACAAGTAACTCACAAATAAACTTAAAGCTAATTCTTTTAAAAAACACGATTTATAGGGGCGCCTGGGTGGCTCAGTCGGTTAAACATCTGCCTTCGGCTCAGGTCATGATCCGAGGGTCCTGGGATTGAGTCCCACATCGGGCTCTCTGCTCAATGGGGAGCCTGTTTCTCCCTCTGCCTGCTAGTCCCCCTGCTTGTGCTCTCTCTCTCTCTCTGTCAAATAAATAAATAAATAAAACAAAAAAAAACCCATGATTTATAAATTGTTGGCTAACCTTGTCAAGAGAAAAGAAGGAAAATGGCACAAAAAAGAAGGGCTAAGGGGAAAATAACCACAGGTGGATGGAATTAAAAGAAACCTTAGAGACTATTTTTCTCAACTCCATGTAAATACATTTAAAAAACTTGTGTTGTAAAAAAATGAACATTACTCAAAGAGATATCTAGCTTTTGTCCTTGGCTCCTGGGACATAATCTCTAGAACATTGGAATGTCCTGCCTGATAAGAATGTCCTTCTTTACCTGGGGGCCTCAGGCCCCACCAAACAGTTTAACAATGTGATTTAGGATGGGAGCTTTGGGCTGCATGCTCTTCACTCTAGCTCTGCTCTGCTCTAAAGGTCAGTGACATGGGCAGTCAGTAATGTCTGTGTGGTTGAGCTCCAGTAGAAACCCTGGACACTCAGGTGAGTTTCCCCAGCTGTCAGTCCTCTGTATGTTTGCATGTTGTTGCTAGGGAGAGTAGTGCTGGCCATGGGTCCACCAGAAGAGCTGGAAACTCAGTGCTTGGAAGTTTCCTGGACTCTGCCTGGTGCATCTCTTCCCTTGGCTGGCGTTAATCCACATCCTTTCACCGTAACGAACTGTAACCGTGAGCACAACAGCTTCCAGTGAGTTCTGTGAGTCTTTCTATAAATTGTTAAACCTAAGCATGGTCTTGGGAACCCCCTAAGTTTGAAAAACCTGACATATTGGATACTTTCCTGAAAAAGTATAATTCTGCCAAACTGAATCAATAACCAATGTTAGTTTCTCCTTAGTTAACCTATAAATGAATAGAAATCCCAATAAAACCAATAGTTCACATGGAAAAAGAAGGTGAAAAGTGAACGGAAAGCTAGCCCTATAAGTTCTAATGCATATTGTAAAACTATAATAATTAAAATAGTGTAGGACATCTTGCAGTTGGAACAAAATAGGAACTCCAGAAATAGACCAAAACCTATTGGGAATTTAACTTATGAAAATGATGGCATTTCAAATCATTGGGAAAAAAAGATGAATTATTCAGTAAATAGTGTTGAGACAACTGAGTAGCCATCTGGAAAAAAATTAAGTTGGCTTCATACCTAACTTCTTATATCAGGATACATACCCGGAGAGATCAGTGATTTAAATTTTTTAAAATGCTAGAAGATACTGTGGGAGATTAAGAAGTAATCTAATGACTATTTTGGAATGCAGAAGAACTTTCAAAGTATGCCATAAGACCCAAAAGTCATAAAGAAAACAGACGATAACTTCTATTGCATTAAAGATTCTGTATGGAGGGACACCTGGATGGCTCAGTTGGTTAAGCATCCAACTCTTGATTTTGACTCAGGGTCGTGAGACTGGGCTCTGCACTGGGCATGGATCCTGCTTCAGATTCTCACTCTTGGAGTGCCTGGGTGGCTCAGTTGGTCAAGCCTCTTCCTTTCTGCCCGGATCATGATCCCGGAGTTCCTGCTCAGCGGGGAGTCTGCTTCTGCTCCTCCCCCTGCTCCTTCTCTATCTCACTCACTCTCTCTCAAATACATAAATAAAATCTTAAAAATAAAAAGTTCTCCCTCTCCCTCTGCCCCCCCCCAATTACGTATGGAAAACCAGCAAGAGCAAATTCTACAGAGTAATGCCAAACCAGGAAAAATATGGTGACATTCCTAATACATAAAGACCTTTTACTAATCAATAAGAAGAATGACTGGGTAATAAGAAAATAGCAAAAGATATGAACAGAAAGTTTACAGAAAAGGAAACATAAATGATTTATAAATGTATAAAAAGATGCTTCACATTACTCATATTAAGAGATACAAAATAAAACTATAGAGAAATAGCTTTTACTGTTTTTCACTTACCAAATCAACAAAGATAAAACATTTGTTTGTGCACTCTGCTGGTACAAGCACGGGGAACAGAAAGTCTTATATGTTGCTTATGGCATATTGAATCTGTGCAAGCTTTATGGATTGCAAAAAGTGACAAACGCACATACCCGTTGACTAACATTCTACTTGTAGGAATTCATCCTAATCACTTTCGGACAAAATAAAGTATGTACAAAGTTATTCACTGCAGCATTGTTTGTAAGAGTAAAATATGGGAACCCACCAAAATGTCCATCAAAAAAAGGATCGTCCAAATAAATTATGGTGCACTGAGCCAATGAAATATTATGCAACCCTAAAGTAGACCACGGAAACTCTTTATGTACTAATGGGGGGATGAGCTACAGATCCACTTGAAAGTGAAAAAAATAAGGTGCAGAATAGTATGTGCAAAACAGTGTGCTATCATTTCTGTAAAACAGGAAAGAAAACAATATCCATTACAGCGAGAGCTAAGACATTGTTTAACCTCACCCTCGTCCTATGCGGCAGGTACTACGATTACATCCTGCTGTGCAGATGGGGGTAACTGGGGCACAGAGAGGCTGCCCGACGTCATGGACCAGTTAGTACCGGGCAGTGCTGGGTCTCAAACTCAGGGAGTCTGGCTCCAGAGTTTGCACTCTTCCCACATGTCATGTTCTTTTGTATGGATACATGGGCATATTTGCTTATAATATCCATAAACTATTTCTGGTGGCTAAGGGAGAGGTGTGGGAGGATGTATTTCACTGTATTCCCTTTCTGTACATGTGGCTATTGGACCATGTCAAGTATTACCTACTAATACGTTTAAAGCAAACGTTTCTGACTGGGAGCAGAGCTCAGGGGAAGGGATATATTGCCCAAGACCCAGGTTCCCCGAGGCAGATGTAAAGTCCTGTCCTGGGCACCAAGGACTGCGTGTCTCTGCCTGCCAAGCTGGGGAAACCACATGGCCTCAGGCCGGCTCTGATCTGCTCATGGGGCCCTCAGAACGGTGGTAGGTAGAGGTGAGGGCTGAACCAGCCCGCTGCCTCATGCGGAGCTCAGGTCCAAGACCACAGAGCTGGGCATCAGGTGGGCATCAGGCTGGGCCCTCTGCTTGTGATCTGAGGCGAGACATGTCTTCCCACGGGCCTCCTCCTACAGATGTTCGCTTGCTTTCTCTTCCCCCTCCCGACCCCAGGGCTATCAGCTCTGTCTGGCTGGGCTTGCTTGACAGCCTCAGGGCGGTGGGATGGGGCAAGGTCTATTTTTGCTGATGCAGATAATGTGTTTCTGCACAGGAAAGTATTCTTGGGGCTAGAGGTGGTGCTGCGCAGAGGAGGACCTTCAGGCTTTCAAGTGCTTGGACTTGGCCCAGCTCTGGGTGAGTGGCCCGCATAGCCGTGCTGGACATCACCACCAGGGGCTGGAGCCGCTTACCCAGAGAAGATCCCCTCTCTCTGCCTGTCCCCTTTTGTTCGCCTGGGCACAGCCTGAGGCCGTGAGATGGGAGAGTGTCAAGGGGCAAGAGACCACCCCTCCCCGCGGCTGGCCTCCCCCTCAGGCTGTGATGAAGGAGCCGGAATACCCTCAACAAGCCGGCAGCAATGGCAACAGGCACACGACCACGAGGACCGAAAACTCCCCCGCCACTGTGATTGCAACAACCACACGGTACGATCACACAACGAACAACAGCAATGAGTTGCTGGAGCAACCACACCATCTGTACAACCATGCAACGCCCACACACCACAGCGCCCTGCAGCAATCACTGCGTCCGTGGCCAGTGAGCCAATATGTACCATGCTCTGACTTAAGAGCGGGAAGGGAGGTGTGCGAAGCCTCCTGCCACAGATCCGCGGAGGCCCAGGAGGCTGGAGAGCCTCTCGGGCCTCTGGGCGGGAATGGGTTGGCAGGAAGTTGGATCAGGTGAGTTGGGTTTATGGCCTTGCCCTCTTCTCTAAGGGGAGGTGTGGTCCCTTGAAGACTTCCGAGCCACTTTGGCTCTAAGCCCTAGAGGAGAGGGCATCTTTCTCACTACCCTTTCTGAGGCTTGTTTTCCTTCCCTGGGGACACCCTGTGATGCTCAGCACTGAGCTCTGAGCATAAATGGTACTCTCTGGTTAGAGGGGATGGGACCAAGGAGCAGGCTTTCCTGTCATTCCAGTGTCCTATTTGCTCTGGTGCATCACAAGAAGGAGTGGGCTTCAGGCCTTCTGAAAACCACTCTCCAAAAGGGGGATGGGGGCAGCAAGTTGTTGACCAGACCCCCTGAGTACTATCAGCACAAGCCCATAGAAAGTCTCTGTTCTATGCAGCCCAGCGCAGTGAAAGGCAAGGTCTGAGACCCCCAGGGACTAACTGTGTATGTGAGGAGACAGGACTGTGCACAGAGAAACTATCCGAACTCTCAAGGCAGCTGATGCCCCGAGCCGGTGCCCCGAGAAAGCCACAGGAGAGCCTGGGGAGGGGCACGCTGATGCTTGGGGCTCTCAGGAAGGCTTCCTGGAGAAGGTGGAGCTTGATCCAGCTCTAAAGGAAGGATTCCACTCACCCAATAGAGAGAGAGAGAGGGCGTTCCAGGAAGGGGAACAACATGAGTGAAAACCCAGAGGCCTTCCGAGGTCTGGTGGAGTCACTGAGTCGTGGGGGTTAGGAAGGCAGGAAGGAAGGCATAGGATGGCGGAGGGGGTCGGAGGCTGGAGGAGAGCATCTTGGAATGCAGGGTCCTGTGGGCAGTGGAGACCACTGAAGGTTTTTCGGAGAGATGGGCCGCAACGTATGTAGGGCAAGGTCGCAGGATGATTTTTTTGGTTACCCTGTGTGGGACTGAGCAGTAGGATTCTGAGGGTGTTGTGGGGGGGTGGGGTGGGGAACAGGCCAAGTGAGAGGCTGGGACTTGGACTCAGTGTCCCCAGTGGGAGCCAAAGGTAGGGAGGGGGTGGGCAGGAATAGACGGGCTCTGACGACAGCTTGGATTCGGGGAGGGTGAATCAAGGATGGTGGCTCCAAGCGATGGTGTTTGGACTGCTGGCTAGAGGGGTCCGTAGTTTCTAGGGAGAGATGCTGAGCTTGTGCAACACAGGAAGTAGGGCTGCGACCATGGGGGAGGCACAGGAGGCCGCTGGCTATGTGGCATGGAGCCCAGGAGAATGGGATGGTGTGGGGTGCACTGGGGTGGTGACAGTTGCAAGAGCAGAAGGGACCAGGGGTGAAAAAGGGCCAGAGAGAGAAAAGCAGAGGGGCAGGTAGAGAACCGGGATGCAGCTGCAGACGCAGGAGAGAAGGTGGGAGTCTGAGGCCGAGGGGGAGGTGAGGGGGAGCCATGGCCAGAAGCATCAGTCTGGAGAGTGGGGCTCCAGCTGTGTGGAGGTCCCCTTTCTCCCTGGTGTCTTCCCCTCTGCCTTCCTTCTGCTTCAGGACAATCGTCAGCTCCCTAAGCGTCACAGTTGTCTACCTGTCTGTGCACCCCACTTCGCTGGGAGCCCCAAGAAGGCTGTACCTCTGTGTCCAGTGAAGGAAAGAACTTACCTGGCAGGTGGGACTGGCCCCGAAATCTCAGTGATGTGTGTGGTCCTGGGGATATCTGAGCGGCAGACTCTTGTCAGGAAGCAGGCTGTCCCTCTTGGCTAGAATGTTCTTTCTCTCCTGGGCTGCTCAGACAGCAGCTTCCCTTTCGTGGGTACCTGCTAGGTACTGGGCATGGTGGGGCGAGTCCAGTGACAAACTGGGCACAGCCACCTTATGGTTCTTCCAGTTTCTGCTTCCAACTAGGGGCCCAAGATGGAATCAAGGGGGAAGAGAAAAGGCAGGCGAGGCAGGTAGTCCATGGGGCAGAAGAGCCCTGAGGACCTAGAGGGCCGCGCAGGGGGAAGCGGGAGTGGCTGGTGGGTGGGGGGAAGATGGAATTTTCAGAAGAAGAGAGGACGAAGTGGGTTTGGGTCAGTTTGAAGTTTGCAGTCAGTCCTGAGAGGAAGGGAGGGACTGGCAGGCTCCTGTGTGTGGGGTGGAGAGCCCGAGCCCAGCAACCATCCATGATGGGGAGGGACAGGGAGAGGTCAGGCGAAAGGAAGTCCCGAAGCTTTGGCTGAGGAGATGGGGTTTGTGTAGTCAGTGACCGGGGAGTCACGAACATGGCAGGGAGGATGCTTTGGTCAACACGTGGCGAAGTCGGAGGAATCCCTTCTGTGAGACGGGCAGGTGGTCCACAGAAGGCCTGCTGGAAGCTCAGATGTTCACCTGGGTAGTGGCCAAGGAGATTAGGCCCCAGGACCCTGAGCCGGCAGGGGATGGCAAGGATGAGGGTGTAGGTGGGCAGCAGGGAGCTAGAGCAAGGGCCAGATGCCTGGGGGTGCTGGGCGGGAGCCGAGCGAGGAGGTGGCAGTGGGACGATGTGAAGAGCCGGCTCAAGATGGAGAGAACCCTGGGACAGAGATGGGGGTGGGGTGAGGGAGAGGGAGGGTGAGGGAGGCTGGGGGGGTGGAGAGAGGCGGAGGGGGGAAGCGCTTTCTAGACCCAAGGGGATGAGGTTTCACAGAACCAATGTTGTCTAGGTCATTTCCTACTGAGGCCATGCACAGGAGGAACTGGACTGTCTCCTCATATCACCCCTATGCTGGCCTTTAATTCTGTCCAGGTTGAGGGCAGAGAAAGCTCCCCTCCTCCACTCTGGGAGAGTTGTTAGTTTTGCTGACAAGTACTCTATGCTTCCTCTTTCCTTCAAGGAAAGGGGAACCAGTTCTCGAAGCTGTCAGAACAGTGGCCTCTGAGGTTTGCCAAAATGCTTGTCCAGGCATTTGAGAGGGGCTGACAGGTCCCTGTTGCCACATTCAGCGAGAATGTTTTCCTTTGTCTTATCCAGTTCTATGCCATTGGTTCTCAGCTGTAGTTGGACAACAGTATTCCCCCTGGAGCTGGGAAAAAATCTTATTGCCCTGGTAGCTCCCGAGATCAATGGGATACAAATCTTGGGGGAAGACATTGGTATGTTTGAAAGCTCCTTAGCAGATTTCTGGGTGCAGCCAGGCTTGGGGACCTCAGTCCAAGGGTGTGGTTCCTGTAAATGCCTCTTTGTTTATAGCTGGAAAACCTGGAATTAATGTTACACTGTCTGTTAACTAACTAGAATTTAAATTAAAAAATTGAAACAAACAAATAAAACAAAACTAAGAAAGAAAACAAAGTGACTGCCTTCATGGAACTTACATTCTAATGGAAGTGACAGACGATTGCTAAAATTATATGTCAAGTAGTAACAAGTGCTATGAAGAAATGTTGAGAATCCTCAAAGAAACAAAGGAGTGACTAAAAGCTATATATAAAACATAACTTATGAAACAACAAATAGGCAAAATTTTAAAAAGCAACTTATAAAAAAGAACCAATTGAAATGAAAAATATAGACATTGAAGTAAGTAAACTCAATAGTACTGGATGAACACTATGAAGTCATATTGGAAGAGAGATTAATTAATTAGAAGGCAGTACTGATGAAATCACCCATAATGCAGCACAAAGAGAGGATACATATTTTTAAAAGTATAAAAAAGCAAATATATATATAGATATATATGTATGTAATATTAATTTCAGGAGTAGGATTTAGTGATTCATCACTTGCGTATAACACCCAGTGCTCATCACATCACGTGCCCCTCCTTAATGCTCATTTGACCCATCCCCCCACCCACCTCCTCTCCAGCAACCCTCAGTTTGTTCTCTATAGGTAAAGTCTGTTTTATGGTTTGCCTCGCTCTAGCCCCCACCCATGTTCATCTGTTTCATTTCTTAAGTACCACATATGAGTGAAATCATATGGTATTTGTCTTTCTCTGACTGACTTATTTTGCTTAGCATGATACTTTTTTACAGCTGAGGAATATTCCAGTGTGTGTGTGTGTGTGTGTGTGTGTGTGTGTGTGTGTGTGTGTATCACATTTTTTTTTAAAGATTTATTTCTTTAAGAGAGAATGAGAGGGCGTGGGGAGAAGGGAGAGGGACAGAGGTAGAGAATCTCAAGCAGACTCCCTGCTGAGCGTGAGGCTTGATCCCACAACCCTCAGACCATGACCTGAGCTGAAATCAAGAGTTCAACACCCAACCAACTGAGCCACCCCTATACCACATCTTCTTTATCTATTCATCGGCTGATGGACATTGGGGCTCTTCCATAATTTGGCTATTATTGATAATGCTGCTATAAACATGGGGATGCATGTGTTCCCTAAATCTATATTTTTGTATCCTCTGGGTAAACACCTAGTAGTACAATTGCTGGGTCATAGGGTAGTCCTATTTTTAACTTTTTGAGGAACCTCCACACTGTTTTCCAGAGTGGTTGCACCAGCTTGCATTCCCACCAACAGTGTAGGAGGGTTCCCCTTTCTCCGCATCCCCGCCAACATCTGTCGTTTCTTGTGTTGTTAATTTTAGCCATTCTGACAGGTGTGAGGTGATATCTCACTATAGTTTTGATTTGTATTTCTCTGATGAGTGATGTTGAGCATCTTTTCATGTGTCTGTTAGCCATCTGGATGTCTTTTTAGAAAAGTGTCTATTCATGTCTTCTGCCCATTTCTTAACTGAATTGTTTGTTTTTTGGGTGTTGAGTTTGATAAGTTCTTTATAGATTTTTGGATATTAATCTTTTATCAGATATGTCACTTGCAAATATCTTTTCCCATTTCAAAGGTTGCCTTTTGCTTTTTATTTTTATTTAAAAAAAGATTTTATTTATTTATTTATTTATTTACTTACTTACTTACTTACTTACTTACTTATTTTAGAGTCGGGGGAGCAAAGGGGGAGGGGGAAAGGGGGAAAGAATCTCAAGCTGACTCTGCATTGAGCACAGGGCCTGACTCAGGGCCCAATCCCATGACCCCAAGATCATGACCTGAGCCAAAATCAAGCCACCCAGGAAC